TGCCTTTCTCATCTCATCTCGACTCAATGAGAAGGTCCAGTAGCCTGTCGAGCGCCGAATATCTGTTGAGACAAGAACGCATGGATCCACACAATGGCGTCCTGCACGGTGGTTTGAATGTCGACGATAGTGTGTCAGAACGGGCGGGCGTGCTATAAATTCATCACCGTAGGCTGTGACTGTTTGATACATCGAGGAACTAGGCCTCTGCAGACTACAGCGTGTTTAAGCTTCGCGAAGCGCGCACGAACGAGGCACATGCGAGCGCGCGCTCAGAGGTGTATTGAGAATGCATGGTCATTTGGTCTTCTTGTCGACTATGCACCGAATGAGTGCCCCGCGGACTGCAGCTTGTGGCACGCGAACGAACAGCACTATAAGACGGTGGTAAGCTAAACCTCGCGCAAGCATACTGCAAACTCGTTCCAGCATGTGCAGTCCGCTGTGAAGGAGAACTTGCGCACGAAAAAAGCTGCGAGCGTCCTCTTTGCGTCAAGATTAGGCCCCTCGCACTCCCCTCGCATCCGCTTGTCCCTCCTCTCTGGTTCTCCCCTTGAATCGTCTCTTCTCCGACCCGGGTTTGGACGCGCATCTACTCATCGCCTCTGCGTCGAAACCCGCGTGCAGTGGATTTTGCATCATGATATCTTCTGTGCTAACAGATTTGACCATCCTGTCGTCGTAAGATTGTCTATACAGACACGTCGCCTATGCCCATAGCACCTTCTCCTCCGAGTGATTGATACTGTCGAAGTGGCTCTTGAACTCAACCGTAATCGGCCTCTTCCGCGCATCTTGAAGCTGCCCGGCAACTAGTACGCGGGCCGGTTCCCGCATTAGAGCGAGCGGCCAGGGGCGCGAAGAGCAATATAGGCATCGCATACACCTCGTTCGTGGCAATCAAAATGGTTCAAGACCGAACTGTAGCATTGTGTGCGTGCTTCTCAGCATCTGGGCTGGGCGCGACTCCGGTAAGCTGAGCACTCTTGCGTTCGATAGTGATCTCGGAGTGTGTAGTAGCGGATGAGGCCCGCGCCGAGTTTGTTGGCCATGTCCATATCCAGCGTCTGCCTGACGTCGTGCGTGACGACGAATGACTGGATGTATCGGTGAAGCACCGGTATCCCGACAGCGCCGAGTGGGCGCCCATGCAGGCTTGTACAAAATTGGCTTGTGCAATTCGCACGCGAAGAAGCGCACGGCAAATGACATCCGTTTTGTCTCCCGTCAGAAGGACTTTGGCCTATAGCGCTGCCCGCGGCTGACGACCCCTGCCGGACTTCGTGCTTGTTTGGCCTCTTCGTTGTCCAGGACCTTGAGCAGTAGGAGTCACCGCGAGGACAGGAACTCATGCAGCATCATGGCGTACAGCAGTTGAATCGGTATCATATCGCCTCCAAGCGTACGCCTTCAACACCTTGAGCGTCTTCAACCTATCGACCATCAACGCGGCCTTCACGCTCGTGGAAGCCATCCGTCTCGGGAGCCTGACACTCTGACCATCTCCATGACAACCTTCCTCGCCCTCTTCAGCGCCACCTCCGCTAAGTCCGCCTAGTTATTACCGAGAACGGCTCGAGCTCGTCCAACGAGCCATTCATGCCGAGCGCGAGTTGACAGTGCCTCGCCTGGGTTCCCTTTGCGCGGGAGCGAGTTGAGGTTTTGACGACTTCGGCATTTCCGCGCGGCGGTACACCATGTTCTCCTCGACGGTACATGCAACCTCTGTTCATAGCCTAGAGGTGCACAGCAGCAGGTTCGCTCAAGCGGATTTGACCTCTACCGCGCATTCCTCAACACCGGACCCCGTGCAGCGGCTGGACCCGCAATATCCGGTGCCGCAAAGCTTTGCTCCTTCTTTGTGCGCGTGTTGCGAGTGCGCGCGCAGCGCAAGCTTGAGACGAGCCGGCTGTTTAAGCCACATGTGCATGCCGGAGCGCCTCCTTCAAGGTTGTTATAGATATCTCGTCGCGATTTTTGCCCTAGCCATCGCCAACGCCTCCACGTCCAATGCCCCTTTCTCAAGCACTCTTGGACGTGCACCACCATATTGGCCAACCTCGCCAACTACCTTCCTGCCTTTCTCGTACGGATCCCTTGGCGAGTATACCTCGCGCAGCCACAGCATTCGTCTGCGCGGACGCAGTGCAATCCAATATCTGAGCCGCCTGCGCGAGCCCTGCACACGCGATGGGAAGCGTATGACAAATGGCATGTGATGATGGATGCCATCAAGCTGGAAACCGACCCTCCGCCGTACGAGCGGGGCGCGCCGGAGCTTTTGGTGCGCAGATCAAGGGCAAAGCAGTGATCCTTCCTGGCCTGGATAGTCGGCGCTCCAGTGCCGGGGCTGTGCATACAAGAGACAGTCCCAGCGTGCTCTGACGCTTAGCGATGGACGTTGCACTCCAACAAAAGCCCGTCTCTCCTCTCCTCTCCTCTTCGATCTCCACTTAGCCCCCTTCCTGCGTAGGTGCTAACTCGTTCATCTCCCTCGCCGTACTCTTGCCTGTAGTCCGAAGCTCTGCCTTGCGACACCTGCTACGGCGAGAGTGCACCCGTTCTGCTTCAGGCGATTGTCGGAGAACTTGATTCGACCAAGGGGGTTGCCGATGCGTTCCACGCGTCCTGGGCGGGCAAGGGCATGAAATACGACGCGGATATGACGATCAGGCCCCAAGACGTTTTTCTCGTTGTAGAGATCAGCGATAGTGGTCTAGAAGATAAGCTCTGTAAAATACTATCAGTACAATGATAAGATTGAGATATTCTTGGGCGTTACCTCTAGCGAGCTGCTTGAAGCAGAACGACTGTCTTCTGGTGAGGGGTTCGCATCTGGAGACTAAGCGAGCTGAGGGTCGGGCCGCGTACGAACAATTGACTTCGACAGAATATCTCCAATCTGCTCGTAGTATAGAGCGCACAATCAGTGCTTCGGTCTCTCTACACCGATGCGGAAATATGCATACCTCCAGGAATCTTCAGCACGCTCGCTAGCCTGTGAGCACAGTAACCAACTTTGCCAATAGCGACCCACTCCAACCCTTCCAAAGTCATGCCCCCGCCCTAAGCAACCCTCCATCCATGGTTGTCCCTCGCCGACGATACGCAGGCACCAATATGCCTGAAGTAGATGTCGTCGTGTTTCCGCCCACAATCCCTAATGCAGTTGTCGGGCGGTACTGGTGAAGATCCTGCATCGGCTCCTGAAGCTTTCAATAGCCGTGAAAGGCCGGAGTTCTTTGTGCTAGGTGTGAATGTAAGCAGTATGAGCACCGCTCCACACGTAGCCGGCGCACCTTCTAGGTTCCTCCTCTCAAAAGCCTCGTCGTCACCTCATGCAACGTCTAGATGGTGTTTGCCAGATTAACATCCGAACAAGAGGTAGCCTGCGTGCGCTCTTCGTGAGCGAGGTGTGGAAGTATATGGTGCGGAAGGCATCACTGACGGAGGAAAGTTCAGCGGGAACTTTGGCCGGAGGTCGACGTAGATTTCGAAAGTAGAACGGCTTCGGGTACATTGCCCGGCCAGAGCTTGCTGAGAGATCCAGTTTTGACAACGAAGAGGAAGGAGTATGCGGCACGGAAGGGTTATCTGGTGGGATGTACGGCGTCGAGCGAGTTGAAGTGGGTGACCCCGTTCAGGCAATGCAGTCCGAGGAGGAAGTGCGACGGGCCGACCGAGAACATCGGTGGGTTCGGCATAAGCACCTGGACCTCAGAGAGATGGAACAGGAATGGACGAGGGCGCCTGTACGTCTCTACGGCGTGACTGGCGCGGTGAATTGATATGCTTCACGAAGCGGGTCCGACAGTGGGTCCGAATCACCGATGGTCTGTAGCTGAGCGAAGGTCAGAAACCGGCGAAGAAGAGAGCACTTCCAGCTGGCAACGGCACGCCGTCAGGAAGGAGGGCCATAGATCGGGCATAGGTTGATTGTTGAACGCGATGGGGGACGGGATCATGTACTTATCTCGGTGTCTAAGGTAGCTGTCGCGCCGCTCGCCCATCTTCACACGCCCTCCTTCGCGACTCCATCGTCTCGCGCCGACTCGATTTCTCCTATTGCTCTATATGTACCCCCGCACTGGTGTTCTGCAGGAACAAGCATACTATAAGTACCCTCAGTCTCAGCGCCGGGATGCTGCTTTGCGTGTGATGACGCCTACACGCACATGTTACCCTCAAAACGAGAGCGACGTAGATTGTCGCGCACTAGTCTCACTGCTGGGTACTCATGGCAAGCCTCAGACCGATTAAGGAAAGGAAGACTAGTACTATGCGAGACACGATGCGTCTACAATGGCTATCACAAGAGGCTCACAGCTAATGAAGAGGCGAGTAAAGCAGAGTAAAGCTCAAAGATTATCGATTATCAGTTTTCACATGTTTAATCGACGACCGCGCCACGGCTTGCTGCGCGCGCTCGCGTTCTGCATATCCGCATACCCGCGTTCCACCGCGCCGGGTCGCGCATCAGCCACCGCCTTCACCGCACGCTCGTGCCGAGCACGTCATTTTTGCTTCCGCGCCGCGCCGTAGGCGTCACCTCGTCGCGCCGTACGAGTATACCGCATACCTGGGCTCGTACGAACCGCTGTGCACGCCGATGGGGTCCGCGGTTGTTGAGCCGCAGAGGAACCCCGAGTGGAGCAACGCATGCGGGCGAGGATGAAGGGTACGGGCAGACTGGTCAGGAGCGTCGTCGTCGCCTCAAATATGGGACATTCCAGAGTGCGCTCACATACGCACTTGAGAAATTCAAGAGTCTCTTTACTGGCATCTGGCCCAGACTGCGATGTAGAAGTAGGCTACTGGTACATATATTCACGAAAGGTTGGACAATACATCGCCCAAGGCTTTGGCCTCTGTAAGATCTGAACAGGCATCCCCAATTTCTACAACAGACCCCTAGGCGCAGGCGAGTCTATCACAAAGATCAGGTACTTGGAGAGTACGTTCATGGAAGACTTCGCACCTACGCGTCAAGGAATCGGACATCAAGAGTGCATTGCATTGTCCATGGCGGCAAACGGAATCTATGATTGAGAGAACACACGTGAGTAGTGCTCGCGTAGCATGGCAACAACGCACCTCCCGCAGCCGTAACTCAATGACAGAGCGGAGCCTATCGGTGGTGTTCTTTAATACGGTCGAGACTTCCGATGCCGTGCATCGTGAGCAGAGGGCCGCGCCCTTGATCGCATCCATCATGTTGTCTTGAATGGCATCTTCGACGTCCAAGGTGATCAAGCTTTGCAGCGTCCAGACCACTGTGCGAACGTAGGTCCACCACCAGCCACAGACTAGTCGCGGTTGGGGTGTGTGTGGCCCAGGCTCGTGAACACAGCTCTGGAACCAGAGAGTTTGCTTCCCACAGCAGCACGAAAGACGTGCCCCGACGTCTTCTTCAGGGACGGCGATCGGATTGATGGAATTGGCGCTGATCCACCAGATGGGGGTCAATTGACATCCACGAATTATGTCCTGGAGAGAATCGGGTACGGAGCTGCGATAGCGAATGAGGGGAATCAAGCAGGATGCTGGTACATCATCGAGCTCCGTTATAAGATCGGTGCCGTCAAAAATGTCCCTACGCCCCAATGATTTCTTCGCGATCGACTTCAAGCTCCCGACGTAGCCGTACCTCCAAGCAACAGCATAAGCAACAGCGGGCATCACGTTCGCATAGTTGAGGAGCGCATCCTCGGATGCTTTGCGCATGAAAGGTATTTCAAATTTCCGAGCGAGTTCAGCGGTGCGTTTGATGTCCATGATGGCAATCAAGCGCGGCTCTTGACAGAATGACCGCGGGTAGCAGAACTGCAGCAGAAGTCGAAGGGAGATGCTGTCTTCCGTCATGCAAACGAGCGCTGGGGTTGACGTGGAATCGGTCGACAATGGCGACTGGGGGAAGGATAGCATGTCAATGAAAACAGGTGAAACTAGGCGCAGGATAGATCTGGATACGGCAAAGTCAATGCCATCGCTGGAACGTAAACGTATGTCGGCGTCGGCATCACGGAATTGGCTGTCTAAGCCGGGTAAATTCGAAGGCGGGGAGGATAGGGTAGACATTTGGAAAATACCGTAGAACCCGCGGGTGGTGTGTCATCTTATACACCTGCTCTCAGTGGCACATTCAAACGCAATCTTTGTGGGTAAACCCCATAGCAAATATACTTTGTGGTGGCCGGTGAAATTGCCACAAAGACGACCGCCACCTGGCAGTCGGAGATTTGCGAGGCAACTTCCTGGTCGATGATAAGGCGCTAACGGGAGACGTGCACAAACGTGCACACGCCTCGCGAGACATTGGGCAGATCGACAGATGCAATCGAGAAAGGGGTGTCATTTGGTATACCTAATGAGGACGGTGACAGAGCG